TTCGATGAGTTACAAACGGAATGACGAACTTAATATACCCTCCATACCTTTTTTGGTGGAGGGTATAAAAACAATGCTGTAAAACGTCCTTCACGTAAAATCGGTCCCTCGATAGCTGCCGGTTTATATATCGACATTGGCACAGGGTCTCAATTGGAACCCCCCTCGAATATCGTTTCGGGAAACACGTAGCTCGATTGAAGTCCGAATCTGTAACTGCAGGTTCATCTGCGGCTTCAAAATATTACATTTCGTGTACTAATATAGCTTGATTGAAGTCCGAATATGTTACTGCATATTCATCTGCGGGTTCATATTATCGTTGTAGCGGAGATGGATCCCGAATTTGTTCCTGCAGATTCATTTGCGTTTCCATTCCCTACATTTTGTTCGCAAAAAAGCTCACACTGCACTATGCATTCAGTACCTACCATCGGAACTAAATTAGATTAAGTTTATTGTGTTGAAACATGCTTTGATGTTTCAAGGGGGTCGGCATGTTTAATTTAGAATTGCATTAAATATTGTTTTTTTATTGACCCCTGGTTTGGTCCTTAATTATTCGTTAAAATTTACGCGCTACGGTTTATTGCAACCTTGTGCTAGCGCCTTTGACATTCTAACGAGTAATTAGTTGTCACTTGTTTTGCCGCCTCCTTTAGACATCACTCGGACAGACAACACCGGCAATATCGTTTGCAGCACATATCGTTGTGCATGGAAGGGCATATTGTTGCTACAGGTAATATTGTTACCCTCTAACCAAACTAAGAATAAATAGTTACATATATTAAGAAAAACTCTTGTGTTTTATTTCTTTTTATTTTTCCCCCCTACGGTCCACTGTTCGACGCATTCGGCGTTTTACTCCCATCGGCGGAGCCCCTCTGATCTAAACATTTGTGGTCCTTCGAGCCGGAGCATAGATTAAAAACTAGCGTTAAACTTTACGAGAGCATCCGAAGCTCTGATAAACATATCAATTGGAGTCAAAGGCATTTTGAAAGTTTTTTACCAAGTCTCTATTGCAATAAGTAAGAGAAAAACAACTAAAGCACAATTTGCTATAAAAAATAGCCAAAAACCAATTCTACTTCGCACAATATAAAATAAATAAAAACACACAATAGTGGGGTTAGTTTTATAATATAAAATAAGGCAAAAGCCAGGCTTTATTAATAATAAATAAATAGGGTTTGGTAAACAATATTACCTTTTTGCACAATAGCGGGGAGAGCCTTCGTTCGTATCGACGCGATAGAAGAAGAGAGTGTTTAACAACAAAACAACGATCCCAACATAAAGTAAGTCGGCGTTGGCGCCATTCGCCACTCGTTGAAATCTGTTGACATTGACAGATTTCAACGATGTTAATCATTTACAAATAATTAGATGTTAACCCATTGTTAACGTTGCAAAACAATAATTTTCAATCTAAATTAAACATGCCGCACACCTTGCAACATATTGGGATGTTGTACGTTTGCTATATTAATACCAAAAATACATACATATGTTTTTAACTATTACCCTTATTTCTTCAGATTCTACAACAGACAATACGGCCTGCACAATACTGGATGAAACTCCATCAACAAGTAATGCATGCACACCGAAATCCTTTTCCGATTACCTGCAAACTTTAGATCCTACCACGCCTACACAGAGTTCTTCAAACATTGATAATTTTGAATCCGATCTATCCACTTATGAAAGAAAATCTAGATTGCCACTAAATGCAAATGTTTTACAATATTGGGACTCTTCAAACATTATTAGTGGCATTGCGAATATTTTACTGGCAATACCATCAACACAAGTAAGCGTGGAACGCTTATTTTCAGCTATGAAATATATGTTATCCGATCAGCGCAATCGATTGTCACCGTTAAATTTGGAGCATGGTAAAAGCCAATGGGATTTTTAATTACCAATTGGGATCAGATTAATGTTCTTACTGGTGTACTTATATTTTTAGTTTATTACATTTCCTTTTTTACTTTCTATTTATATTATGTTTATTATATTTAACTTGTTTAATTAATTCAATTTTTATTAAAAAATACATTTAAGTAATAACAATTAAATACTTATAAATAAATCAGTATTAAGTATGTTTCATTGACATATGACAGTACGTTGTTTTATTTCTTCTTTAATTTCCACTTATACAAAGAGTGATACTAATATCGATATAATATAATTTCCACTTATACAAAGAGTGATACTAATATCGAATTTTGTGTAATTTTGCAAGGTTGGATAATCTTTAATTTCTTTTATTATAATCATTTTATTCATTTGCAATGCTACATACTAAAAAATCAAACCTTTAATATTATTTTCCAAATCATAAAAAAAGCGTATTGATGCCAGTACATTTTTTTAATGTGGTACACTACGATTTTTTAGTGCTCCGATTGCGGAACACTACGTTTTTTAGTGCTCCGACTCCGGAACACTACGATTTTTTAGTGCTCCGACTGCGGTACACTACGATTTTTTAGTGCTCCGACTGCGGTACAGTACGATTATCGTTGTGTTCCGGTACAGTACACTATGTTAGTGTACTGTTTATTTTCGAACGCTGGTAAAAATAGATGTTGGAAATGTGGTCAACGTCATCACACGTTACTACATCGCGATTCATTAAAACCGAATAGTGCGTTTCCGGTTCTGACTCCAAAGGCTTCGTCAAGCGCAGCAAAATCGTTGTTGTCAGCTTCAGCCCCCGTTTTTCGTCCCTCGAAATGTACATCCTCCACATCGGTTGGAGCCACAAATAAAAAATCGGATTTGGTTCGTTCAAAATCACTACACCAAATATCGAAAGATAACTTAATTAAATTTATAAAAACAAATTTATTAAATGGAAATCATAAAAAGAAGTTTAAATTTAACAAGTAAAAAAGCAGTAAGTTCGGCCGGGCCGAACTTTGAATACCCTCCACCATTTGGAACGAATTAGAAAATTTTCAAAAAAATTAAATCCAATAAAAATTCTTTTAAAATCTATAAAATATCTAATATAGGAAGGTGCCGATATATGGGGGGATATACGATATTGTGGACCTATAAAGACAAATCTATGTCTGCGTGTAAAGTACTCACAAGGAACTCCTTGTTTGGATTTTCAGATAATTCCATTGGAAAAAGTGGCTAAAATCATCAAAATACCGAATATAGGGGAGTACCGTTATATGGGGGCTATACGATATTGTGGACCTATATATATGATTCTCTGCCGAGGTATAAAGTACCCACAAGGAACTCCTTGTGTGGATTTTTAGACAATTCCGTTGAAAAATGTGGGTAAAATCATCAAAATACCGAATATCGGGGGGTACCGTTACATGGGGGCTATACGATATTGTGGACCTATATAGATAATTCTCTGCCTAGGTATAAAGTACCCACAACTAACTCCTTGTGTGGATTTTCAGACAATTCCGTTGAAAAATGTGGATAAAATCATCAAAATACCGAATATCGGGGGGTACCGTTATATGGGGGCTATACGATATTGTGGACCTATATTAATAAGTCTCTGCCGAAGTATAAAGTACCCACAAGGAACTCCTTGTGTGGATATTCAGACAATTCCGTTGAAAAATGTGGATAACATCATCAAAATACCGAATAGCGGGGGGTACCGTTACATGGGGGCTATACGATATCGTGGACCTATATGGACAATTCTCTACCGAGGTATAAAGTACCCACAAGGAACTCCTTGTGTGGATTTTCAGACAATTCCGTTGAAAAATGTGGGTAAAATCATCAAAATACCGAATATCGGGGGTACCGTTATATGGGGGCTGTACGATATTGTGGACCTATATAGATAATTCTCTGCAGAGGTATAAAGTACCCACAAGGTACTCCTTGTGTGGATTTTAAGACAATTCCATTGAAAAATATGGCTAAAATCATCAAAATGCCGAATACCGGGGGTACCGTTATATGGAGGCTATACGATATTGTGGACCTATATAGATAATTCTCTGCCGAGGTATAAAGTACCCACAAGGAACTACTTGTGTGGATTTTCAAACAATTCCATTGACAAATGTGGCTAACATCATCAAAATACCGAATATCGGGGGTACCGTTATATGGGGGCTATACGATATCGTGGACCGATATAGCCCATCTTCGAACTTGACCTGCCTGCAGACAAAAGAGAGATCTGTGCAAAGTTTTAGCTTCCGATCTTAATTCGTTTAGACTGTAGCGTGATTACAACAGACGGACATACGGACGGACAGGGCTAAATCGTCTTAGAATTTTACGCTGATCAAGAATATATATACTTTGTTGGGTCTAAAATGATTATTTCGATGAGTTACAAACGGAATGACGAACTTAATATACCCTCCATACCTTTTTTGGTGGAGGGTATAAAAACAATGCTGTAAAACGTCCTTCACGTAAAATCGGTCCCTCGATAGCTGCCGGTTTATATATCGACATTGGCACAGGGTCTCAATTGGAACCCCCCTCGAATATCGTTTCGGGAAACACGTAGCTCGATTGAAGTCCGAATCTGTAACTGCAGGTTCATCTGCCGCTTCAAAATATTACATTTCGTGTACTAATATAGCTTGATTGAAGTCCGAATATGTTACTGCATATTCATCTGCGGGTTCATATTATCGTTGTAGCGGAGATGGATCCCGAATTTGTTCCTGCAGATTCATTTGCGTTTCCATTCCCTACATTTTGTTCGCAAAAAAGCTCACACTGCACTATGCATTCAGTACCTACCTTCGAGCCGGAGCATAGATTAAAAACTAGCGTTAAACTTTACGAGAGCATCCGAAGCTCTGATAAACATATCAATTGGAGTCAAAGGCATTTTGAAAGTTTTTTACCAAGTCTCTATTGCAATAAGTAAGAGAAAAACAACTAAAGCACAATTTGCTATAAAAAATAGCCAAAAACCAATTCTACTTCGCACAATATAAAATAAATAAAAACACACAATAGTGGGGTTAGTTTTATAATATAAAATAAGGCAAAAGCCAGGCTTTATTAATAATAAATAAATAGGGTTTGGTAAACAATATTACCTTTTTGCACAATAGCGGGGAGAGCCTTCGTTCGTATCGACGCGATAGAAGAAGAGAGTGTTTAACAACAAAACAACGATCCCAACATAAAGTAAGTCGGCGTTGGCGCCATTCGCCACTCGTTGAAATCTGTTGACATTGACAGATTTCAACGATGTTAATCATTTACAAATAATTAGATGTTAACCCATTGTTAACGTTGCAAAACAATAATTTTCAATCTAAATTAAACATGCCGCACACCTTGCAACATATTGGGATGTTGTAACTTAAATACAATACATAATTATATTTTTTCAACTTTTTTTTCAATTCAATTCATTTTTTCCAAAAACATTTTGTAACACTATATGTTACATATGCCCGACAGTACCCACCCAAATATGGTGTAGTGGGCTATCGGTAACCCTGGCGTCGCATGCACCCGATGTGTTACAACCCTGGCATAGACTTTCGGCCCGAGTACCAGGGCCACCCGACCAGGCCTGTTAAAGTCCGTATCCGCCAAAGGAAGACCAAGAAAGGAGTCTTTTATGCGCTCTGGGATTGTCGCTGTAGGCGTTCGCGCATGGTCCAGATGGGTCACCACTGCCACAATTGACAAGGACTGACTCCGGTCGTATATCGAGCCGCCCTCACGATAGAGGGACGGCCAAAAGCATCAACTTTGAGTAACAAAGTCGGGGAAATGCAGATACCAGACTGGAGGGACAACAAGCCGGCCAGTCCTACCTGCGAGGGGGGAGCATTTTCAGTCGGACGATAGTAAGGACTATGACGCGAACGGTGCCTATAATCCGTATGCGGACGACGCCGACTATTACTTGTGGGTTTAACCACGGTCTTCGAATCAACGTGAAGAAGAGTGTGGTGATCTTCGTTGCATACGGCACACTTTCTTTTACTATGGCAGTTCCTAGCTTGGTGGGATTTAGCTAAACACCGTATGCAATCATTAAATTTAACAACAATTCTCCGACGCATGTCAACATTCATGACGCGGAAGTCGCTACATCTATCAAGCGGGTGCATGCGGTCACAATGGCGACATTTATGGGAGGCCGCAGATGAATCCCGAGGGGATTCGGACCTATTAAATTTGGCCGACTCCTCTAACGAATGAGGAGTGGCAACCGGAGCCGCAGATAGACCCGAAGATCCGGACTCGGTTGGCGAATTTTCAATTTGGGGGTTATCGACAGGGACCGGAGCCGCAGATGAATCCACAGATATGGATTCGGACTCGGTTTGCATCAATTCGACAGATGCGAGGGCCGCAGATGAATACGGTTTATTCGATTCGGACCCAGGCTCAGAGATTGTCACAGCAGCAATCGGTTCTACCAGGGCTGCTTCCACGGCAGCAGAGGACAATGTGGTCTCAGTGGGGGGACAATCCGAGGTGGCATTACCGTCGTCAACGTTCAAAAGTTCGTCTTCGGTATATAATTTCATCTATAACGAGAAGAGAACCATTTTAATTACTAATCGAGGGGTGGTCGGTCGGAATGACCAACTTGGTGGTGGACCGATTCATGATGAACAACAACTAAATCGTCTATGGCTATATCGCGCTCTGGAAATTTCCATTTACACCTAATGTGTAAATGTTTCAAATATTTCTCTTTCCACCTCAAACTAAACTGGTGGGCGAAGGCCTGAACTTTCCAAGACCGATTAACGAAGCTTAATGGTTGCTCTGTGATGAGAGGTTCAGGCGGTGCTAATAAAGGGGGTCCAAAAAAAAAAAAAAGAATGTCTTGGCGTCGACGCGACTATTTCGTCAGAACTGTGCGACATCGGACAAAAACTTTTCCAATCAGCCTCAGTAGCTGTTAAAAGTTAATCATCTTCGCTGTAACAATCATTGGGGGATCAAACAATTTCGCAAAAGCCGAAAGAATTTCCCTCTTAGTTTAACTGGGGTTAATAACTGTACAGTTAACTGCAAAGTAGACAACAAATCTAACAAATCTGCTGGCATAGTACCCGTTACAAGCCAGCCGAACACTGAGTTTTGAGCCAGTAAAGCTCCAGACAAAATTGGACGACAACCATCAAAAACAATATTGGGGTAAAGATCGGCTCCTAACAACAGATCTACAGGACAAGGTTCAAAAGATTGACATCTGCCAAGCGAAGGTCGGGGATTTGGGGCCTCAAGTCTGAATTGGTCACAAATGACGGAAGATTTTCTGATATAGTAGGCAACACTAACACACTTGTTTCTAATGTTAGAGAATTATCGAGTGGACTGCTAATTTGTATACGACAACTTTTATTAGCAGTAGCCTAAAGGGAACCACTCCTGATACAACAGCATTAGCAGGGGATGCGGGAAGCTTCAATCGATTTTGAAGTCGCTCTGAACTCGCACTCTGGATCTATCAGCGCCCTAGCAGGATACAAAACACCTTGGTGAACGATATTCACCACCGCCGTACCTAAAAGTACAGATTTGTTCTGTGCGGTGTGGAACACCTGGCGGGGTATACATCCAGTTGATGTTGCACAATTTCCCGAACTAGATGGACTGGAACTCGAATTTTGAGGGACATTAGATGTCACAGTGGAAGTTGGAGTCGAATTACCCAATGTAAAATCTTCCCGATGCAACAATGTATGATGTGCCTTATTGCACTTCGAACACCGACGTTTACTATCACAATTCTTTACTTCGTGACCATAACGAAGACAATTTATACAAAGGTGAGGGCGTTTCATAACTTTATACCTATCAGCGGATTTTAAGCTCTTAAAACGGGGACAAATGACGCAATTTGAACTTTTCGAAGCCCGGGGAGAACTAGGCGATTTAGGGACATTAACATTAGAATAATGCGCTTGAACTTTTCTACTACTTAACTGCTTCGACCTATCTGTGCCACGCATGTCATGAAGACACATGAGCGTACGAATTCTCTCAGTGAGGAAAGCATCCAAGTCTTTCCAAGACGAAAGAGAGGATTTATCCTTTACACTTTGCTCCCAAAGGGTCTGAGTAAGTTTTGGGAGTCGTTGGAGACACAAAAACACAAGAATCGGATCCCAATTTTCAGTTTTAACATCATATATTGCCATCGAAGTTAAAAAACCATTTATACCGCGTTGGATAGTCTTTAATCCTGAACTAGTCTCACTATAGAGAACAGGAATATCGAACAAAACCTTCAATTGATTGTGAACAAGAAGCCGGGGATTGTCATAAGTTTCGATCAAAGCCTTCCAAGCAGACGCAAAACTACGATTAGTTAGTGGAAACTTTGACACTATCTCGCGAGCTTCCCCTGTCGTCTTCCGGACCAAATGACAAAGTCTTTCAATGTCGCTTAGACGAGCATTATTAACGTACACAGTGTTAAACAAATCCCCAAAGGTTGGCCATGAGTGGAAATCGCCTTCAAAAACATCTATATCACAAGGCGGCAGAGCTAGATTATGTACAACATCTGAATTTGAAACAAAATCTAAAGTTCGAAAACTCGCACTACTATTCCCCACAATAGAGGTAAGTGGAGTCTGAATTTGGGAAGGATTTTTGAAGAGGACTGACTCGAAACATTCAATTGGTTTCGCGTTTCAACCGACGTTTTCGGCATAATTGGATTCGGTGATTTTTCTAGGGTTTCACCCGTGGTTTCCAACAACGAGGCTACTGAACCACTAACACCTGAATTAATAGAAGTAGAACGAACCCTTTTAAATTGGTCTAACTTCCTATTAATTGCAGCCTGGCATCTCAGATAGAGTTGAAAAGATGCATTATATTTTTGATCGACAGCATCTATTTCTTCTTTTGACGTCTCTACAGACGTCATCATAAAATCACAGCCTTTTTCAAATTTTTCCTGCACTCTTTCCCACAAGTTCTCTAATCCATTAATTTGGGATTTTAAATACTGGAAATCCAATTCCTCATCACGCATAGATTCAAAACTAGCGTTAAACTTTACGAGAGCATCCGAAGCTCTGATAAACATATCAATTGGAGTCAAAGGCATTTTGAAAGTTTTTTACCAAGTCTCTACTACAATAAGTAAGAGAAAAACAACTAAAGCACAATTTGCTATAAAAACAAGTAAAAAAACATTAAGTTCGGCCGGGCCAAACTTTTAATACCCTCCACCCTAGGGTAAAAGAACATTAGAAGAAATGTGGCAAAAAACATTAAAATGCCGAATATCGGGAGGTACCGTTATATAGGGGCTACACCAACACGTGCACCTATAATTACAATGTTTCGCCACACGAACTAGGACCCATTATGACCCACAAATACCAACTTTTACACAAATCAGTGAAAAAATGTGGCATAAATCATCAAAATACCGAATATCGGGAGGTACCGTTATATGGGGACTATACCAGAACGTGGACCTATACATGCAATGTTTTGCCACACGCTCAGGGACCCGTTGTGACCTACAAATACCAATTTTCAGACAAATCCGTGAAAAAATGTGGCATAAATCATCAAAATACCGAATATCGGTAGGTACCGTTATATGGGGGCTATACCAAAACGTGGACCTATACATGCAATGTTTTGCCACACGCTCAGGGACCCGTCATGACCTACAAATACCAATTTTCAGATAAATCCGTGAAAAAATGTGGCATAAATCATCAAAATACCGAATATCGGGAGGTACCGTTATATGGGGACTATACCAGAACGTGGACCGATATATCTCATTTTCAATACCAACCATCCTAGGGACAATACACACACTTGTGCCAAATTTCAAAGGTCTACGTCAAATAATGTGGGCTCTATCGTGATTTCAACAGACAGACAGACAGACGGACAGACAGACAGACAGACAGACGGACAGACAGACGGACATCGCTAAATCGTCTTAGAATTTTATGCTGATTATGAATATATATACTTTATGGGGTCTACGACGAATATTTAGAGGTGTTACAAACGGAATGACAAAGTTAATATACCCTCCTACCCATGGTGGAGGGTATAAAAATAGCCAAAAACCAATTCTACTTCGCACAATATACGAAAAATTTCCAAAAAATCCTCAAAATTTGTTTAATGGTCAAGGAACGTACCGGAAAGATTCCAAGAATTTATTAAAACCGCACTATAGGGCCAAAAAACTTGAAAACTTTCGCGAAATAATTGCCTTGAAACTCTCACACAATAGTGAAAAAATCAAAATTTGATCTTCTATTTCCAAAATTCTAATCTCCAATGAGATATTTAACAACAGATAACAAGGTACCACGAAAAAAGTGAGAAAAATAAATATAAAATTCTCAAAATATTTTTAAAAAATATACCAATAAATATATAAAGTTGGGTAAATTTTATAAAAAGTGTGTATTTCTACCGGTAACTTTCCAAAAAACCGTATTTTCGCACACAATAATTGCCTTGAACCTCTCACACAATAGTGAAAAAATCAAAATTTGATCTTCTATTTCCAAAATTCTAATCTCCAATGAGATATTTAACAACAGATAACAAGGTACCACGAAAAAAGTGAGAAAAATAAATATAAAATTCTCAAAATATTTTTAAAAAATATACCAATAAATATATAAAGTTGGGTAAATTTTATAAAAATTGTGTATTTCTACCGGTAACTTTCCAAAAAACCGTATTTTCGCACACAAAAAATCTGAAACATTTTAATTTGTAATATTTTCTAACGAAAATATAGAGATTATTTCGATTTTATTTCAAAAGTTACCTACAATTTAAGCAACTAAACTACCGAATGTAGCGTGATTTTCCAATAAATATTTACCAAAAATAAAATTTCTAAGCAAAATCTCCAAATTTAATTAAAAATTTCAAATTCCGCACGAAAAATATCAATTTTAACACTTTTTACTAAAATGTCGTATTGACCGATCGTAGGGTGCACGCGTTATTTATTTTTTCCAAAAACGTCGTTTTATTACACCCAATTATCATTAATAATTATTCAAAACAAAAATCAAAAATTTTTCATATTTTATATTACAGGTCGTTTTATCACGGTTCACCTGTAATGCAACGAACGATAGAAAAATATCAAACGTCTGCACCAAACGTATGTATGTATTCGCTTATGTGTGGCTGACCGACCAAGCAGTGATCATCAGCCTATTACTGCGTTTGTATGTTTGTATATCGATCGTTAGCGAACAACCAAACAAACCAATGTAATTGCTGCGTGTATTTTTTGGGGGTGATTTTTATACCCTCCACCTTGGAAAGGAGGGTATATTAACTTTGTCATTCCGTTTGTAACATCCCTAAATATTCGTTTTAGACCCCATAAAGTATATATATTCATAATCAGCATAAAATTCTAAGTCGATTTAACAATGTCCGTCTGTCTGTCTGTCTGTCCGTCTGTCTGTCTGTCTGTCTGTCTGTTGAAATCACGATACAGCCCACATTATTTGACGTAGAGCTCCAAAATTTAGCAGAGCTATTTGCATTGTGTCTAGGATGGTTGGTATTGAAAATGAGATATATCGGTCCACGTTCTGGTATAGTCCCCATTTAACGGTACCTCCCGATATTCGGTATTTTGATGATTTATGCCACATTTTTTCACGGATTTGTTTTAAAATTGGTATTTGTAGGTCATAGCGGGTCCCTGAGCATGTGGCAAAACATTGCATGTATAGGTCCACGTTGTGGTATAGCCCCCATATAAAGGTACCTCCCGATATTTAGTATTTTAGTTTTTTTTACCACATTTTTTCACCGATTTGTCTAAAAATTGGTATTTGTGGGTCATAATGGTTTCCAGCTCCGGTGGCGGAACATTGCATGTATGGGTCCATAATTTGGTATAGTCCCCATATAACGGTACCTCCCGATATTCGGTATTTTGATGATTTATGCCACATTTTTTCACGGATTTGTCTTAAAATTGGTATTTGTAGGTCATAGCGGGTCCCTGAGCGTGTGGCAAAACATTGCATGTATAGGTCCACGTTGTGGTATAGCCCCCATATAAAGGTACCTCCCGATATTTAGTATTTTAGTTTTTTTACCACATTTTTTCACGGATTTGTCTGAAAATCGGTATTTGTTGGTCATAATGGGTTCCAGCTCCGGTGGCGAAACATTGTAATTATAGGTCCACGTTTTGGTATAGCCCCTATATAACGGTACCTCCCGATATTCGGTAATTTGATGATTTTTGCCACATTTTTTCAGGGATTTGTTCGAAAATTGGTATTTGTTGGTCATAATTGGTTCCAGCTTCGGTGGCGAAACATTGCATGCATGGGTCCATGATTTGATATAGCCCCCATATAACGGTACCTCCCGATATTCGGTATTTTGATGGTTTTTGCCACATTTTTTCACTGATTTGTCTAAAAATTGGTATTTGTGGGTCATAATGGGTTCCAGCTCCGGTGGCGAAACATTGTAATTATAGGTCCACGTTTTGGTATAGCCCCCATATAACGGTACCTCCCCATAATCGGCATTTTAATGGTTTTTGCCACATTTCTTCTAATGTTTCTTTTACCCTAAGGTGGAGGGTATTAAAAGTTTGGCCCGGCCGAACTTAATGTTTTTTTACTTGTTAATGAATATTTTAATTAGCAAAAATGCAAATTTACAAAAAATTTAACAATTTTTTAATTTCAACTATACCGATCGATAGGAAATTTAACGTACATTAAAATGACACCCGACAACAATATTTTATTTTCACTAGAAAAGCCAAAAAATACACTTTTTTCACAATTTTTTTGGTTTATTTGTTTTCTATGATTTTTTTTCGAATGCCGACGGCAAAAAAAAAAATATTTGCAAAACTAGACGGCGGAGGAACGGGGTACGCTACGCGTTGTAAAACGGCCACCGAACAAATAAACGACACGAATTGTTGTTGTTTTACACAATTTTTTTTTCCAAAAATTCTTTCTCTAGAGAATGTTATTGTTTCACAAGGCACTTTTTCACTGTACGTACCTGGTTGTTTTTAATGGAAACACGATTATGATGAGGATAATGATGATGACGATGAGTATGTGGACTGTATTTTTGTTGATGGTGATGATGAAGTTTGCTTTGTGAAAAGAAACCAGTAAAGAAAGTCCTAAAGTCGGGCGGGGCCGATTTTATGATACCCTACACCACTTTGCTAACTTAGTTGAGCTCCACTTAATAATTAAAAGTTTTTATGGGAGAATTCAATCATACACGCTATGATTATAATTATAATTTAAAATTCAAAGGACTAAATATGCCAAAGCATTTGTATCTTTTAAATTCGGACTTGTATTGCCCATTTGGTGCAAAATTAATTTGAAATCAGATAAAGATATATATGGGAACTATATCCAAATCTGAACCGATCTCGATAAAATTTGGCAAAGATATTTATACCCTACACCACATAGTGGTAAGGGTATTATGTCTTTGTGCATTTGTTTGTAACATGGAGAAGGAAACGAGATAGACCCATAGTTACTTTTGAGAACCTTCATAGAATCACTTTCTGAGTCGATTTATGCATGTCAGTCCGTCTGTCCGTCCGTCCGTCCGTCTGTCCATGTATTGTTGTGAACAAAATGCAGGTCGCATTTATTATCCGATTGAGATGAAATTTTCCAAACAATATTTTTTTGGCCCAAGGACGAACCCTATTGAAATTGGTGAGAATCGGATCAAATTTAGATATAGCTCCCATATATATCTTCATCCGATTTCGGGTTAAATGTGCACCAAATGTCCACTATCAGTCCAAATTACCTGAATTTTGGCTCACCCAACCGAGTTCGGCCTAGAAGCAAGTATATCAAATTTGGAGAAAATCGGTTCAGATATAGCTATAGCTCCCATATATATCTTTCATCCGATTTGATCTTTAAGTCCCTCACATTCCTACTATGCACTCCACAACCGTGATATTTGGTACCAGGTATTAGATGGAGCACAGAAATAGCTGTTTTAAATTTTATCGAAATCGGTTCAGATTTGGATATAGCTCCCATATATATCTTCATCCGATTTCGGGTTAAATGTGCACCAAATGTCCACTATCAGTCCAAATTACCTGAATTTTGGCACACCCAACCGAGTTCGGCCTAGAAGCAAGTATATCAAATTTGGAGAAAATCGGTTCAGATAGCTATAGCTCCCATATATATCTTTCATCCGATTTGATCTTTAAGTCCCTCACATTCCTACTATGCACTCCACAACCGTGATATTTGGTACCAGGTATTATATGGAGCACAGAAATAGCTGTTTTAAATTTTATCGAGATCGGTTCAGATTTGGATATAGCTCCCATATATATCTTCATCCGATTTCGGGTTAATTGACCACCAAATGGCCAATATCAGCCCAAATGGCCCGAATTTTGGCACATGTGACCGAGATTAGAATTAAAGCAAATACAACAAATTTGGAGAAAATCGGTTCAGAAACAGCTATAGCTCCCATATATATGTTTTATCCGATTTGGTGTTTAAGCCTCTCACATTCGTAACATGCACTCCACAGGAATGATATTTGGTACCAGATATAAGATACAGCCCAGAAATAGCTGTTTGTAATTTTATCGAAATCGGTTCAGATTTGGATATAGCTACCATATATATCTTCATCCGATTTCGGGTTAATTGTGAACCAAATGGCCGATATAAATCCAAATGGACTGAATTTTAGTACATCGGACCAAATTCAGCCTAGAAGCAAGTATATCAAATTTAGTGAAAATCGGTTCAGATATAGATATAGCAACCATATATATGTTTCATCCGATTTAGTGTTTTAGTGCCTTACATTCGTAATATTCACTCCACAACCGTGATATTTGGTACCAAGTATTAGATGGAGCACAGGAATAGCTGTTTTAAATTTTATCGAAATCGGTTCAGATTTGGATATAGCTCCCATATATATCTTCATCCGATTTCGGGTGATTGACCACCAAATGGCCGTAATAGCATCAATTTTGGCAAATCCGACCGAAACCAGCTTAGAAGCAAGTACACCAATTTTAGTAAAAATCGGTTCAGATATAGCTATAGCTCCCATATATATCTTTCATCCGATTTGGTCTTTAAGACCCTCACATTCGTAATATGCACTTCACAGGAATGATATTTGGTACCAGATATCAGATAAAGCCCAAAAGTAGTTGATTTTAATTTTATTAAAATCTGTTCCGATTTGGATATGCCTCCCATATATATCTTCATCCGATTTCGTGTTAATTGTGCATCGAATGGCCAATATCAGCCCAAATGGCATGCATTTTGGCAAATCCGACCGAAACCAGCCTATAAGCAAGTACACAAATTTTAGTAAAAATCGGTTCAGATATAGCTCTAGCTCCCATATATATGTTTCATCCGATTTGCTCTTTAAGTCCCTTACATTCGTAATATACTCTTCACAGGAATGATATTTGGTACCAGATATCAGATAAAGCTCAAAAATAGCACCCATATGTATCTTCATCCGATTTCGTGTTAATTGTGCAACAAATGGCCAATATCAGCCCAAATCACCTGAATTTTCGTACATAAGAACGAATTCAGTCTAGAAGCTAATACGTCAAATTTGGAGAAACCCGGTTCAAAGATAGCTATAGTTCGTAAAATGCACGATAGATTTTGATTTTGTACCAAATATCTCATAGAGCTCTGAAATGCCCTGTATAAACCTTTTTACGAGAGCTCTACTAAATATGCATAGTGGTGTAGGGTATCATATAGTCGGCCCCGCCCGACTTTTGAGCTTTCCTTACTGGTTTTGAGCTGTATTTGATATATTTCCCTGAATATCTTTGTTACGGAGTGCATATTACGGCTGTAGGTAACAAATACAACAAATCGGATGAACAATATATATGGGAGCTATAGCTATATCTGAACCGATCTTCACCAAATCTGGCATACTACCTTCTAGACTAAATTCGGTCGTATGTGCCAAATTCCATCCCATTTGGGCAAATATTAGACGTTTGGTGCACAATAAAAGGTAAATCGGACGAAGTTATATATGGGAGATATATACAAATCTGAACCGATCTCGATAAAATTTAGCAAAGGTATTTCTGAGCTGCATTTGATATATTTCCCCAAATATTGTTGTTACAGAGCGCATATCACGGCAGCGGAGGACAAATATAACAAATCGGATGAACAATATATATGGGAGCTATAGCTATATCTGAACCGATTTCAAATTTGGCATACTTATTTTCAGGCCTAATTTGGTTGTATGTGCAAACTTTCATGCTGTTCGGGCTGATATAGCATTTTTAGATTAAATGAAACCTTTTGCAATTCAAACGAAACTTTTTGCAGCGGGAATGAAACCTTTTGCAGTGGAATTGAAACCTTTTGCAGTGGAAATGAAACCTTTTGCAGCGGGAATGAAACCTTTTGCAACCGAAATGAAACCTTTTACAACCGAAATGAAACTTTTTGCAAATCAAATGAAACTTTTAGATTTTTAGAAGGAAAAATAACAAAACATTTTTATTTTTAGTAGGTTTAAAATTAAATTAACTAATTATAACTAATATATAGTTAAAGAGGAATTTTTATTGATTATTAATATTTATGTTTTTATAAAATTTTTTCTTAAAGCTTCCATAAAACACAAGTGTAGATGCAGAAAGATTGAAAAAAGTTTTTCAAGGTATTTTTTTCAAATGACCCGAATTAGGTATCTTTTTATAATCTGCTCCATGGAAAGGAGGATATATTAAATTTGTCATTCGGTTTGTAACATTCGTCGTAGACCCCATAAAGTATATACAATCATGATCATAGTTGATTTAATGATTTCCACTCATCTGTCTTTTGAAATCACGACTGCTCTATCTCCATAATAAATAAAGCTGCGAAGCGGGAATCCTTTATTAGGTAATATTAAGAGTATACTATAACTTTAAAAAATTGTGGTAAAGCTTAATTTCACAATTCAGTCCTGGCCATACCTATAAAGGGCAAAATTTGTTTAAATTTCTCTTTTTAGCGTTAAGAATTTGGAATTTAATAATATGGAGGCATTTTATATCAAATCAATAAAGAACCATTTGTTATTACAATAATTGAAAATTTAAGAAATAATATAAATAAATGTAGATATTTATAATCAATAAAAAATCCTCTTTGTCAATATATTAGTTATATTATTATTAATTATTAATTGATTTAATTTAAAAACTACTAAAAATAAAATGTTTTGTTATTTTTCCTTCTATAAATTTAAAAGTTTCATTTGATTTGCAAAAAGTTTCATTTCGGTTGCAAATGGTTTCATTTCGGTTGCAAAAGGTTTCATTTCCGCTGCAAACGGTTTCATTTCCACTGCAAAAGGTTTCATTTCCACTGCAAAAGGTTTCAATTCCACTGCAAAAGGTTTCATTTCCGCTGCAAAAGGTTTCATTTAATCTGAAAATGCTATATTACACGTTTGGTGCACAATAAAAGGCAAATCGGACGAAGATATATATGGGAGCTATATCTAAATTTTGACTGATTATCTCCAATTTCAATAGGGTTCGTCCTTGGGCCAAACAAATGTTGTTTGCAAAGTTTCATCTCAATCGGATAATAAATGCGACTTGCATTTTGTTCACAAGAATACATGGACAGACGGACTGACATGCATAAATCAACTCAGAAAGTGATTCTATGCAGATCATCAAAAGGAACTATGGGTCTATCTTGTTTCCTTTTGCCTGTTACAAACAAATGCACAAAGACATAATACCCTGACCACCTTGTGGTGTAGGGTATAAAAAGTAGAAACGATTAACTTATTTTTACCAAGGGCTCGTAAGCCGGTACGAAGTGACCATTGTTTGTGCCAATGCGTGGTAAAGGGGGAATATGCAAAGCAAACCAATGTAACAAAATAAAATAAATAAAAACACACAATAGCGGGGTTAGTTTTATAATATAAAATAAGGCAAAAGCCAGGCTTTATTAATAATAAATAAATAGGGTTTGGTAAACAATAATACCTTTTTGCACAATAGCGGGGAGAGCCTTCGTTCGTATCGATGCGATAGAAGAAGAG